AAAAAAAAAAAAAAACACATCCGCGCGCGCAAGTTTTGTAAGTTTTAGATTAGCTTTTTCGCATTTCCCTTTATAAACTTTCATTTTCTTTATCTATCTTTAACTGATTACCTCTTCCTATTTTTCTTTCACTTTCGTTTTGCTCTACAGAAAAGGCAAAAAATTAATCATAATAATAATTATTTCGGTTTCAAGTTGCTTAATTACCAAATTAAATTAATTGAATTAGCCGTGTGAAACAAGAGTGAAATCAGTTAGTTTCAGTCGAATACCTTTCTAAACAGTGGAATATGTGTTAGAGAAGATTAGATTTTTCTTACATGTTATAAGAGATTCAACTGGTGTTGTTTTTAACTTTATTTTTGTGAATTTCAGGTATTTATAACATATTTCATTTCTCATTTGAATTACTCTCTATGAGAAATTTCCAGTGAGGTCGATATTACAAAAACTTTTATCATTTTTAAACAGCTAGAGGTCACTGCATGATCATATGCAACATGTTTATCTTCTATCTTTAAATGGGGGGGGGGGGGGGAAGATGTCGTAATTTTTCTTAAGAATAGGTTTCCGACAGCCAATGTTTCACGGTTATAAAAAGTACATTGTATATTTATGATTTTTTTATCAGTTCATCTTTTATTTTTCCATTTTTTATTTCTCTGGTGGTTTTTCTCTCCTTTTTTTTTGACGTGAAGCTGCACTGTCGCTCACGTATTTTTTTCGAATATCTATCTAACTTTGCAAGTGAAATTTAATCTTATTTAAAGGTTAAATAATTACTTACTTTCTGAGACTAGTCACGGTATACCTATAATGCAGACATCCAAAAAAATATAATGTATGTCTTGAATTCTTCAGATTAAGGAGATAGGAATTCGGGTTATCTTCACTTTCGTAAATCACTTTATTGTAGCCGTTATTCTAACAATTTCACTTTCAGTTCCCTTAAAAAGCATTCTTCCAATAGTCTCTTCAGTTTTCTCATAAATAATGGTAACGACTTGAAGATAACCAAAATGGTTGAAACATCATAGGCCAGTTTAGTTCTCGCTTCTGAACTTTAGTGCTTTGAGATGTATTTTGGTTGTAACTTACACTATTTGTTTGCCCTCTTGATCATTTTTTTCTAACGTATTGTTTTAACGACAAAAGTATTTTAAAATAAGAGCACACATGCCAAGGCTCAATTCAAAATGCGCCCGTTGTATACTTATTTTGGTTTTAAAGTTGTC